AGGCGCCCCTCCGCCTCTCCGCCCCAGGCTGGAGCCCGCACTCCACCATCCCCGCTCACCTCCTTCCTCCTCCTCCTCCTAGTGCTCCGCTCCCAGAGCGACGCTCCCCTGCCACCGCCCCCCCGCCCCTCCCCCACTCGCCCCGCCCCTCCACACACTCGGGCTCCGATCGCCCCGCCCCGGCCCTCGAGAGCAAGCCCGACATTCGCTAGGGAGCGCGGGTGGGCGGGGCCAGGGCGAAGGCCGCCGTCCAATCAGAGAGAGACGCTGGTGGCAGCTTCCCTCTCCCCGCCCTTTTCCTTTCCTCCGCGGCTGTGCGCGGTCTCCCGCCCACTGGGCGCCGCTGGCTAGCTCTGCCACAGAGAAAGCCTCCAGCCGGCTAGAGCAACAACTCCCAGTCGGAAGTTACGGTTGAAGTCCGGGCAGCCATAATTGATAATGGCAAGAGGCGTTTCCTGTCTCCCGTTTGACGTACACGCGTTTCCTTCGTTCAGCCCCCGTTACCCCGGGCAACAGCGGAGCGGTCTGGAAGGAACGAACCCGTAAGTATACCCCCCGAAGAAGTGACCTGACAGCCCACGGCAGACGAGTTCATCCGCACTGCGGAACTGCGGGTGTTGTTTCCAGGCCCTTTGCTGAGACGCCTGATCACTTACCTAGAAGAAATAATTTAGAGCTTCAAAACTCCCTCGCGCCGGAAGTTGCGCTTGGCACTTCCTAGTAGGGTCATAGCCAGAAGGTGGGAATCGTCGCCCCGGCCTGCGCCCCAGGGGTGCCTCCGCTCCCAAGGCTGAACAGTGAGGTGAGTGCCCCCGACGGCCCGCGGCGGGCCGGCCAGGCCGGAGGAGCCGCGTGCAGGGAGCCCTGGGAAGACGAGTAGGGCCCAGGGCTGCTTCCGCTGGCGGAGGGTTTTCTTTCCGGCGGGTGGGGCGGTGGCCAGCCTTCCCTCCGCCCCTCTAGGGTTCCCGGTAGGGCGAGGCCGGTCCCCCGCCTGGGCTGACCCAAAGGCCAACCCCGGAGCCTGGGCCCTAGCAACTGCTAAGCGGAGCTCCTGACCACGCCTCCACGAGTTCCTATCAAGTACAGTACTCCCTGACCTTTAGAGACTGTGCATTTCAGGAACAAAAAGGAATCAATTTCCACCCCAACAATCAAAAAGATGACTTTCTAGCCAACCAGCAAAACAAGACCTTCCCACCGCCAGTTTTCTTTTTGTCTTGCCTCCCCTTTCTGGGCTCTTTTTAAGGATATACTGTAGTAGTCGTGGGTGTCTACGATTTAAGAAACAACTTAATGCTTATGAATCTCCTTTTAAAGAACACTTAACATGCTTTATGTGTTCCCTTCAAGACACTATCTCATGCGATTCCTTCTGTTGGCTTTTTGAGTCAGGGAGTCAGTCGTTCTAATATTTATATTCAATTTATTGAATACCTAAAACTACAAGAAACAGGTAATTTTCAGGCAAATTAAGAATTGCTTATACCTAACCAATCGATAATGAGAGTGCAAATCTACCTTCTCTACCTATGTTCCAGGCAAAAATGAAACACTCTTGTCTCTTCTGGGGTTAGTCTGATGTCACCTTTTGTGAGTTTGTGTCCATGATTCTGTAATCCTTGGAGATGTGTTTCCAAATTCTCTCCAACAGGAAATGATTTCTTTGGAGCTTATATAGCACTTCTTAACATATCTTATAATAGACACTATTTAATGTATCAGCTGTTTACATATTTCTAACTTCATGACCATGCTTATGCCTGAATAAAATGGTTTGTATGAGATTCACCTGCTCTGAACGTAATGGTGCCTTGACAAACTGTTGCATAATTAGCTATGTCCTGGATGTCTAAGACACTCCTAGCAGTGTTACTCTTCTTCACTCTATCAGAAATTGAGCATAGTCCCTGATACTCAGTGTTTTCTTAGTTTTAACCTCTGAAATCTTTACAACATAATCCCCCTCCCATATGTTTTATTGTGAAAATGTTCAGACATTACAAAGCTAAAAGAGCTAGGTGTAATGCACTCAGGAAGCTGAAGCAAGAGAATCTCAAGTTCAAAGCCACTATGATACATAGTGAAATCCTCTCTCAAAAAAAGGAGGGAGGATAAGGGAGGGAAAAAGCTCAGAGGCTGTATAGACATACACCATTTACCTATGTAAAATACTTGTTAACATTCTACTATATACACATTTCTTTCCTCTTCACATTCCTACTTTATTACTATTTAAAAATAGGTTATAGGTCTGCTGTTAGGCAGACACCCCTAAGATTTCCTACATGAATTTCGTAAGAATTTTGAAATAGAGAAACTGAAAAATACAGTATCATTACAACCAAGAAAATTAGCAATTTTGTAACATAAAATATAGAGATATACAAATCACAATCCTGTCAAAAGTATTGTATTGTACATGGACATTACCACTCTTTAACTTTAGAACTGTCCCCATCTTCTTTCCTTCAAAATGGACATTTTGAAGAAATCAACCCAGAGGTACTGTTGAAAAAGGGATGGATCCCTTTCCTCACTTCATGTGACCTAAAGTTAGACCAGAGGCTTAAGTCTTTCTTGTTCATGACTACATATCAGTATTCTTACTTTCCCAGTTGTGTTCTCAAATGCAACTACATGAACCCTTGCCATGTGTTACTAGTGAAGTCCATCCAATTTAGCAGGCTAAGGGTTTGACATTTGATTTGCCTGTGTCTATAGAGAACCCTGGTACCCTGGGCTGGCAATATAGACTGTCTCCCTTTAATAGATGTTGCTACTTCGCCTGTGGTTGAAGCTGATGCAATGAAATCTACAGCAAAGTATACTGATGTCAGCGTAGTTTCTGGAGTTTCAAGTCCTAGCACCCTCCAGACTGCTGTTGAAAGATGTGTAGCTCTGTAATTCAAATCCATGAACCTTGATGTTATCACAGCAGATACCGCAGCAACTGTTGTCCACATGGCCACAGTCCAATTGAGGCAATGTTATTTTCTCCCTGAAATTCTTCTGCATGATCTAATTGGTCCTGTTGTTTCTGTGATAGCTTTCTGGTAGTAAGCATTGCCTATTAAAAGCTGCAAATCAAGATTATGCTTAACACTTAGTTCATTAGGAACATTCTCTGCCTGGTAGATAAAGAACTGTGGAATTTAGTTTATAATCACAAGAAGAAAACTCCCAAGAATGCAAAGCTCGTGTATTCCTCCTACCCTATACTTATTTTTCATCTTGAAAGTGAAAAGAAATCTCTTAGGTTAGTGTAGAATGTTTTTAGCTACCATACTGAAAGTTAAAATAACATGTTTCAATAGTTGCTTTCTTTGTATAGGAGGAAGAGTGCTCATATGTGATTTTGAAACAATTTTAACTTAGTACTTAATTCAAGAAGGCTAAATAATATAGTAGTTAAGACTAGGTTTTAGGATCAGACCTGGATTTCGGGAATATGACCATTCACTAGCCAAGTGTCTATGGGCTAAATTTGAACAGAATTCAAATATTATGTGAAGTACTTTAGCTTGCCTCATAGCTCACAGAATGTGGTCAGAGTATGATTGTTATTATTATTAACTTCTAAAGCAGTATAATTTAGGCACATATTAGGCATTAAATATTTAAAGATCAATGAGAGAGAGACAGTTCTCCAAGTTTAATGTCAAAAACAAAAGATTCCATCCAATTCATTGATTCTGGAGGGCTTCAGAAAAGAGTGTACATTTTTAATAATAAAACAAGATCTTTATGCACAAATCTGAGATTTGAGGAATGATCTTTAGAAAATGATGTAAACTATCAATTCTCTTTCCGTACATACTGTGGAAATAACTAACCAATTATCTCAGCTACTAATTAACTTTTTCACAATGCTAAAGGTTAATATTTTTAAGACTGACACCTAGAACTGAATTTTAAAACAGGTTTTTAGAGAACAGTATTTTACATGAGATGAATATGAACTTAATAGTGGTATATGCTATTGGAGTCTTCCAGTGCCTATGACATCATCTAGATTCCCCATGAACAGTTCCTGTTCTGAGACTTAGGCACATTTCAGAAACTAGACACCACACATTTTATTAACATGAGTCGGAGTTAATTAGCCAAATTGAGCATGTTGCAACACATTTATACTAGCAGATGCCAGCGAGCAAAGCAGAAGAGAATCTACTATGTCTCCAACTGTCTCATACCTGATGTTTCAGTTGGCTTCTCCACATGAATGTTATCAGTCCATACTCCACTGGCATATGGGCAATTGCTTGAGTAAAACTGGGTGTTACTACTGTATGTTTGCTGGGAAACATAGTCTTTCAGGGCTCACTCTCTCACCTTTTCCTTATTAGCTTACATTGGGCGATCTATATGGAACTGGAGGTGTAGCTCAGGGGTGAATGTGTGGCTAGTATACAAAAGGCCCTAAATTTAATCCCCAGTACTGCCCCATTCCCTATTCCAAAATCTATGCTTTGAAATTTCATTCTTCATATAACTCCAACTTTTGACTATAACAAGATAATTTTTGTCATTGTTCCTACAATTCTATGCCATGCCCCCTTGAAACTGCACCAGCCAAACTGAATTTACTTTGAAAGAGCTAACTTAATGAATTCACAAAAGAATTTTGCTTTAAGAGCCCTAACAATGAATATCCTTTATATAACAGGATTGCTTCTGGTGCTTCCATCTCTAGGATTTGAATCTTAGTGCCTAGTAGTCCAGGCTCAATGGTTTTCACCCATAGTACCAGCTACGCTGGAGGATGAAGCAGGGAGATTACTTGAGCCCAGGAATCCCAAAGCAACCTAAGCAACTGCATCCAGAGCCTGTCTCAAGACAGGGAGGGGAAGTTGGAGAGATGGCACAAACATTAAAGACTAGGTTTACAACTAAAAACCAAACAAACAAAAGTCAATCACTGCACAGCTGGTACAGTTAGACAGTTTGGCATATAATGTGTTGTGGCTCTGTATTTTACTGCAAGTTAAATGTTAGATATGCTTAACTGCTGAGCTGATAAGGGAAGGGAAGCAATGGAAACAGTAGAGAATCTGAGAGTACGTGTTTAGCAAATACTGCCAAATACAGCTAAAATTTGAATTTTATGTCAAATCTGCAGGTTTTCAAAATTGGTTCAGATACTTTTTAAACATCCAGCAGACTAGAATAAAAAAAAATTAAACTAGTTTGGGACTATACTACTCTATGATGTCTATATTTCTTACATAAAAACATTAGGACTTGGTTTAGAGTCTCAAAATGCTTTAAAGCACTATTACTTCTCTTGGTAAGGCTCAAGTCACTTGTCATCTCTGCCAAAGATTCAAGATAGAATTTTAACATATAACAGATTTCTGTTCCCTTGGTTACAGTCTATATAGGTTTCTACTCTTCGCTGCTCACTTAAACCTTCAACATGATTTCAGCCTTGAGTTATATATATTATGAAGTACATTTGTTTTATCATACATACAAAAAAATTAAGAATACAATTTGGCAATGTATGTTGCTTTAAATAAGTTTTAAAAATGTTTAAAGAAAA